TCGCACTGTATTACAGGAATCTAAATGTGTCTTTTCTTCAATTAAATATATACAATTTTCCGGACTGATATTGAAATGTCAATCAAGACTGATGGACGTGCCTGATCACGATTTGTCGACCATTTTCGAAGTCTTGTCACCATACAGACTGTAAAGAAGCGCGTTTTTAATGGTAATCTTAGCACCAGGGTAAACAATGGCTTACGTTTTATCCATCTCGTCCTTGTGAAAGAAGAAATTATTATGCATTTTCGACGAATAAAATGATGCAAATTTGTGTTATAAAGTTCAATATTTTATTTAACGTTTCAGGTATTTAAAGCTATCATTAGACTACAAAAGATTACTAGAAGATTCTGAAATTTTCGCGACAGATGGCAAAACGCGCAAGTGACGAAATCATGTGATAGATCTAACATCCAGCTATTGCGTCTCTGCACTTGAACTATACAAAACGCCATCAAGCATCAAGCTCTAAGTTACCAAGGGTAGCAAAATGCCGTCATAACATCTATAGAAAGATGCTTTATGTAATAGCAAATTCAAGAGAAATTCACTGAGATCGCGGACTGATCGTGTAACCCTGAACCTCCGGGGGGTACTCCTTGATATGGGATATATAGGTAGGTGCGGCCTCAAACGGTAGGGGTTTTCAGCCGTTTTGGTCAGAAATAGGGTATCGATTTTGGCCATTTTGGTCTTGTGGTTTTTGCATTGTAGTCTTGAATTTGGTATGTCTCTTAGAAGAAGCTTCTTTTTTATCATTAGATACGACCGTCCACAAAAGCCCTTCATAACTTATGTTTAGGGCAACTAAACGTATTTTTCTGAGAAAATTCCTCGAATTTTGTATCTTTCAAAGTTACTTAAGTTGTAACTTTTCGTAATTACGTGTAAAGCTAAACAAATCTATGGCAACAAAAGTCAGGTTAAATGTTGCAATAGTACCGGACCACAATGAAAAATGTTCAGTATTGATAAGATTTGCTCTCGTGTTGTACAGTGTAGATGGAGCTTCAAAGGTTTGAGTTTCTGCGTATGTAAAGAAGTCTTTTAACACAAACTGAAGACAACTTTTTTTTTATTACAATAAATATGACATATTTCTACACAAGATTTACATGTTAAGTATGATTCATTCGTGTTCTTTGGACAGTTCGGCCTGTAATATTCTGGTGGGTGGAATCTCGAGTTCTTGATTCACCTAAAAAAAAGGATTTAAAAGTTGACATTTTTGACAACAACATTCCTTTGATCAGACCATGAATCCCATTGTATATAGTATGAGCGACGCTCATAGATAGTGTAGCCGCTCTTGGTAGCGTTCTTTTGCTAAGGCCTCGTCCACACTACGCCAAAGAAATTTAAAAACGAAGCTTCATTTCTACGGTTAGGCCTACCATCCACACTAATCCGCCACGAAAACGGAGCTTTTTGAAAACGCTCTTTAAACCGGAGGAATTTGAAAACGCCGGCTTTGTGTTTTAGTGTGAACGAAAAACATTTTGAAAACGGAGCTCTTCGAAAATGACGAGGCCACGATATTCATGTGATTTCCCTGACCGAGTTTTCCAAATTGACCGGTGATTGCTGCGTTTTCAAATTTCTCCGGCGTAATGTTGACAGGGTCTAAACAATCAAATTCAAATTCACGCAAATTCTGTAATTTAACATTTTGACATATGACAGCAATGCAAGTCAGTGTTTTAACAAAGAAATGTTTTTACCCTGGAGTTCACGTACTGATGAAGTAACATCCTCAGCTCTGCATTCTGAAAACAAAAAAAAAAGAAAAAAACACGTTTATGAGTAATATGCCTACTCACTCGTTCTTTTTATGGAGGATCTTGTCGTGTAAAAACATGTACGTTTTAAAGACACTAAACAGCTGCAGCTAGCTTTCACCAACAGACGATTTTCATTAAAAAATATAGATCTGTAAATAGGTTCAATTAACGCATTTCCCCATTTGGGACTTACTTCATTGCGGTTTCAGTCAATTTGGACTAGCGCGAATTTAATCCTGAATTTTTGAGATGACTGTGAGTGCTGTTAGGTGAGGAGAATTTTGAGCCCTTCTTGATAAGAATGGGCCGTAGAATCTAGCCTGCTCATGTCTCTCGGTCAGTAAGGACGATCGAAAAAGCGGGCGGGCGATGAGTGGGGTCCGGGAAAACAAGAGGAGGGCCCTTTTCTCTATCAGACCCCGCTCGTCGCAGGCCCGTTTTTTCGATCGCCCCCACCAACTGAGAGCCTGGAACAGGCTACATAGAATCTAGGCTGATTGGCATCTCCAGTCACGTCAATAACTCGCTCACGTGCTATAATTCCCAGTCCTTCTCCACTCACCTGCTGTTTGAGAGCATCTGTTTCTTGTATGAGTGATGCCCTCTCTGTTAACACAGCCAAGTATTTCTCAAACCCGTCTAACAAAGCTGTCCACACTCGCTCTTTCTTTACATCTATTACAGAGGACATCTTTTGCCAGAAGCTTTCATCCAGTCTGCAAAAGAAAAGAACATTTTCCAGCCATGTTTCTTTGTATTTTTTTCAAGTTTTAATATTTTCACATATAGCATACGTACGTGGCCATTCTTCCAACTCCGATTCCCAACTTTAGACTTTGACGCTTGGTTTCCCTTGAAAAAAAATAAGCACAGAAAAACACAGTGAGCCAAAAGATATGTAATGGTCCACACCGTTGACCGTTATTTCGTTATGTCATGCAATCTCAAGGATTGCGTTACCAACCAAACGCACGCCTGCTTAGAAAGCGTGACATCTGAACGACGGTTTGAGAACATCAAATTTCTCCACACAATGGCATTACACTGTCAAGTAGACAGGTTTCTGAGAATATTGATAATGATCAATTTGCCTACACAAACTGCTTTGGAGTGCTTTACCACGAAATTCTCATAACCACAAAAGAAATGTAGAACAGTCCGTTAGGAGAGTTGACATTTTGAGCTTTGAAATCACACTGAAAGGTAGGGGAAAGTAGGTTAGGATAACAATGATATCGTAATTACTAACTTACTTTTGTGGTTGGCGATGATCTTGCACAAACTGTCTCAAAGATATCACCACTTCGTTCGGATGAATGAGATGCATCATTTCTGTAAAAAAACAGAGAGAAAATTCCTTTTAAATTTTTTCTTTTTTACATCAACACCAGAGGAAAAAGGTTAAATTTAACTTTAAAAAATGCAAAAGAATCAATTTACGCGAAAGTCGCCCATATAAATAAAGCCAGCCTGCGATCAGACTCTCCTCCTACGAAGATCGAAGGAGACTCGTTCCCAGAAAGAGAGGACCCTGGCAACGAGGTTGGGACTCTGTTCGCAGGGTAAAACAAAGCGGGCGAATAATGAAAAATGCGGGAAACGACGCGAGAGCTACGCCGTTATTGATTTGATTCTACACCTGATTAGATGATAGAAAAAAAGGTCTTCTCACTGGCTAGGCATGTCCCACGTGTTTCTTGAACCAAGCAAAAGCAGTTGACCTGCATCTCTTTAAAATGTCTATATTTTGATTCGTTCTTCTTAACCTGCACCTCTTCTGTTCTCATGGCTAGGGGCATTGCCTGTGTTGTCTACCCATTGTTTCGTTTTGCCAATTATAAAGAAATCTGTAAACGGTGCAGGTCTTCCCAATAAAAACCAAAGCTGCAGAACAATCATACCCCAGAAGTGTTTGCATCTGGGGGGGAGGGGGGGAGGGGAGAGACTTCCATATAAAAAGGACGGGGGTGGTCATTGTATCTTTTAGGGGTTAAAAAAGCAGTTTTGGTACCTTGTAAGGTGTTTTGCCTCAAAAGGTCCACAGCAGGAGTTTTGCGGTACTTTTTCGGGTATTGAGCCCCAAAAAATATAACTGGTGATAATGTGTTGTTTCAGAATTGGTACCTCTTAGGGGTGGAAAAAATTTGACGCCACGCCCACAAAACAGGATCTTGGTACCTCTTAGGGGTTCTCTTTAAAATTTCCAACGAGACAGCCCTGCCCTTTTAATATGGGAGTCCATGGGGAGGGGGGTGNTGTAAGGTGTTTTGCCTCAAAAGGTCCACAGCAGGAGTTTTGCGGTACTTTTTCGGGTATTGAGCCCCAAAAAATATAACTGGTGATAATGTGTTGTTTCAGAATTGGTACCTCTTAGGGATGGAAAAAATTTGACACCACACCCACAAAACAGGATCTTGGTACCTCTTAGGGGTTCTTTTTAAAATTTCCAACGAGACAGCCCTGCCCTTTTAATATGGGAGTCCATGGGGAGGGGGGTGGGGGGGGGTGTGTATCTGTTGAACAATAGACAAGTGAGACAGTGGCTGTGTACAAACTACAATCAAGACAACAGCTTCGTTACCTGACAAATGAGCTTTGACAGAAGATGAGTCGCTGGCTTTCTCATCAACACTAAACACCACTGAACCTTCATCATCTTTCTTTTCTCCTTCGTCCACTCCACCGCTTGTCTCCTCCCTGCCTTCCTTCCCTTCTGCCATCTCTTCATCCTTGGCTCCTTTCTCGCTCCCTTCCTGTGCCTGCTCACCCTCCCCTGGACCTTTCAGGAAGTAGTTTGAGAGCAGATAGATGTCATCTTCTGTGTCCACACCCAGTGCCTTTATAAACAAACACATTTTTTTTAATATTAGGCAATGACAAATATCTTAAATGCCATTTATCATGATAAGGTGATTTTATTGTATGTGACAAACAACAACAACTTAATTCACTCATACATTTACAGTTTCATAAAAATTATATCTAAATAGAGGGACAGAAAAATAATTTGCATTTGAGTCTAGAGACTGAAGTAACCCAAACGTTTTCTAATAAGTCTCCAGTTATTGTAATGTTTCTATAGATATTTAAGAGTTTACCGAAATGTTAAGATAAGAGATGCATACACGATATAATAGAATGGAGAATATCAACCAAGTTTTCAGAATGTTGTTGAGACAGTAAATGAAGTTTCAGTTGTTTAGAGAAGCTGAAGCAATTGAGATCTTTAAGATGAGTGGGGATATTGTCCAAGAAAATAGTTGCTGTGTAAGCTATTGTTTGTGACACAGACATACTCGAAAAAATTAACAATTCTGACTTCTCCAGCTGGAGTTCAAACCTAAGATCTTCAGTGCATAATTTTAAATGATCTGAGAAAAGACTGAAACTGAGAAAAATTCTTACTGCAAAGATGGCATCCAGTTTCATCAAAGACTGCTCATCTCTCTCAAGAGGAGCTAGCAGTTTGGTTAGTTTGGATTCTACAAGAAATCCCTGAAAAGAATAAAACATGGTTATAAAAATGAATAGACACAATTTGATCTCTCTCCATGGAATAACAGAACTACAATCCAGCTCAAGTTTGCTGAACCTGAGGGAACACTTACAGCCTCGTCACAGATCAGTTCCAGTATAGCCTTGATGGTTTTAGCTGATAATTTCCTTCCTGCGTTTTGTCCATCTTGTCTTCCAACTGAGCTCTTTTCACTATCATCATCTCCATCATCTGTACCAACTAAGAATCAATCACATGATTAAACTATCACAGTGCTAAAGTTAATTTTAAATTAATAATGTAACCAAATTAATCCTAATGAAACCACAAAACTGTAACTAGGACGCCAGAGTAGAAAAGGATGCAATCAGCAGAAAGGTTGGGAAGCCAAACCACACTGCGCTTGGTTTTGCATCTGATTTGCCTACATAGAGGGCCGACATACGTGTTTTTCATTCCCATATCCCACCATTTTTTATGGCTCAATCCTGCCATCCCTCCCCACACAGAATGTTTATCCTGATCCTCACTGCCTGGTTAGAGGTTCTCCATGTAATGTCCATAATGTATGATTTGCTTTTATTACAATTTTAAAACTATCCCGCTTCCTGCCTGTCAAAATGGACAAATCCACTTTCCCACAGAAGGATTTTTATCTTACATCTTGTTATTAACACATCTCTCACCCCACATCCCCCTCCATTAATTTTACTCTCTACCCACATCCTTCCAAACCTATCTTGGACCCTCTAGATGTTACATCATTCTTTGCTCTGATTGTTTTGAGCTTGGTGCAGGAGATGTTTTAAGCCTTAGCAAATGGACAGTTTCACAGTACTAACCTCCAGACATGATTTCATGCGCCATCTGTGATGCTGACATCTGCTTCTCCTTAGGGCCAGTTGGTTCTTCTGGCTTGCTGGTGTCCATGAAATCTCTTTAAAAGGAGGAAAAACAGAGATTAGACTAAAATGCTTAAGAACAGTACATCCATGGGGGAATCTTATGGGTTTTAATTTTTCAAAAAAACTTTATTAATAATTTTTGTTGAGGCAGGTCATTAAAATGTGGTAAAACTTCTACCACGCTGGATGGCAAGATAATGCCGCACCCCCCACCCCCCACCCCTTTCCCCCCAAAAAGGTGAACTCATCTAGCAATGCTGTTAAGACAGTTGTTCTTTGTTTTTGGATGTCTTAACACATAGCTTGGCCTTATATGCCACTCTGGCACAAGGAGTTAGGTGGAGAAGGTGTAAATGCATAGCTTGGGGGCTTTTGTACCATGTGGCCAGTTCATGCAAATTCCTTTGATCGTCTAGTCCAAACAGTCACGTGACTGTACTCACAGATCAGGTTTCTCCCATGGCAAACCCAGTTGATGTTCATGGATGATTCTATCTTCTTCCAGCACACTGTGCACCAGGTCTCTGACCTGCTCCTCATTCATGGCCCAGATGTCCTGGAACTTCTTCTGATCTGTTGCTTGGAAATGCCTTAGAAAAAGTAACAGATCAAATGAGCTTAGTTAATGTGAAGTCAAGGAAGTGCTATTATTCCCCAGTATGAGATATCATGAGTAATGTAATCCTGTCTGGACGTTAAATTGACTGAGGTGTAACCATAACTATAACATCTTTGAATGATGATACTGATAATGATAATGATAACAATAATTATAATAGTAATAAAGATATTTATAGTGCCAGTGTCCTTAACTTCAAAGGAGTTTTACAACACAGAAAAAAATCTTTAAAATTGTCTAAAAATTAAAAAACATTAGTGTAAATAAAGTGGAAAAAGGCTTTTCTAGACAGAAATGTGTTGAGTCTATTTTTAAAGATGGACACAGACAAACTATTTCTTATTTTGAATGGTAGGGCATTCCATAGTGTAGGCGCTGTCACAGAGAAGGATCTAACTTGTACCATATGTTTTCAAGTTATAAGACGGAGTTAAAAGAAGATGCTTGGATGATGAGCGTAGTTGACGTGTCGATAAGGCCTGAATGACCGTAGCTACAGTAGTCCCACTTTCAGTTTTGTGTTGTACACTGTACACTCTAATAGTAATTCCCCATAGGCAGAAAATTTACAAAAATCAGCTACAGGATTAAAAGTCTAACATGCAGGGCCGGGTTGTTCGAAAGCCGGTTTACACTAATCCAGGATTAAAAGTTAAGCAAAGTGAAGCAATTTTTCCTGTATAAAAATGTTTTTATGTTTCATGTAGTTTGAGAAATGCAAGCTAAAAGTTGAAGGACAAACAATATAAACAGAAAATCTCCCCGAAAAAATACAAAACTGAAATAAATATTCTTGCTAATCCTGGGTTAGCTTAATTAGGCTTTGAAAAACCCAGTCCAAGGAAACATTAGATTTCATGCAATCTTTATAATGGTGAAAAGAACTCACCTTGACTTTTTCTGGAGTTCTCTGAACTGTTCTGTAATTCTCTTGTAATCATCTGTTAGAGCTTGATTATCCTCTCTGTTGAAACAACAAAAAGTCAAATCAATCCAAACAAAACCACAGGGTTAGTTTGATAAGTTGTGCGGTGTTGGAGGGTAGGTAAAGGTTAAGTCTGTATACAAGTCAAGTGGCCCACCAGGCCAGAGCTTATCCCTGTTTCTGTAGTGTGAAGTGACTAGGAATATTTCTACTCCCCCCTGGATGGGATGCTTCATATGGTACATCACAGGGATACCCCCCCCCCAGCATTAAATTCACTGGTATAAATTAATACACCTGGGTGGAAAGAAGCACTGTGGTTAAAGTTATGCCCAGTCCCAGGACTCTAACCCAGACCACTCGATATGGAGATGAGAGCACCAACCATAAGGCCACCAAACCTCCCTAAGTGAAATTAAGTGTTGCAGATTTTCCCATGAGATAATTTCAAACATCCACCTTTTGTCATTACCTGTATTGTTTTTCTTGCTTTGCCAACTTCTGCTTGAGGTTGTTAAGGACGTCCTGGAGTCTGAGAAAAGCAAATGCAATAATAAGAACTAATCCAAGCCAAAAAATTGTAAACCAGACACAAGTGCCTCTAAGGTACAAACCTGGTGATTTTACGCTTCTGTTGTGATTTTGTGATTGTGTTTTCTTCATCTCGCTTCTTCAGCACCTACAACATAAATTAAAGATTTTATAAATCTCTTTTGATCTACCACCATGACTGATGACCTCAAAAAAGGCTAGTCAGACATACAGCGTACATATAGAAGACGGTAAAGGTAAGGTGTCAAAGTCCGCACATGAGCCAAGTGGCCCATCAGGCTGGTGCTTGTCCCTGGTTTCAGTAGCATGAAGCGACTATAGGAGTATTTCTACTCTCCCCTGGATGGGATGCTAGTCCATTGCAGGGTTACCCTTCCCCCCCCAACATTACATTCACTGGTAACCATTTATACATCAGGGTGAAGAGAGGTATTGTGAGAGTAAAGTGTGCCCAAGAACACAACACAATGTCCCTGGCTATGGATTAAGCCCGGACCACTTGACGCGGAGGCGAGCACACTAACCATGAGGTCACAGCACCTCCACACATGTAGGAGAAGACTTTCTTGTAAGACATTCTCAAAATTTAGTGCTTAGTGCCCCTCACTAACTGGGCAAATCAGGATGGTTCAGTGAGTTATTCCTTAGCTGCGCAGCCCACAGTGGACCAACACACTGTTCAGGGCAAGCAGCAATATTCTTACTACATTAACCACTTAAACTTAAGGTTACAAGCAAACCAGAGTTAATTAGCATTACACTTTAAGAGGCCTAGTGCTCTATAAAGCAGCCTTGAAAATTTTGATATGTAAGTACATGTCAGTTGACTCACTTGAAAGTTGTACTCCAGTTTTTCCTGGTTCAGTTGGTAGGTGGCCTTCATCTGCTGTAGCTGCTGCTCTAAAATCTATACACAAGATGAAACAACAACCATGCATATTTGCAATGTAGCCAATATTGTGATATAATTACCTGAGTCACACTGACGACTAAAATAATATGTTTAGTCTTGAAATTTATTGATAAAATCATATTATAGTAAGTGTTGTATTTGTTTCTAGTATAGCCTAAAATCAAAAATTTTGTGATTTTTCACAAGATGACACTTTGGCATACATTTCTACATATTTATCAGTTTCCAATTTTTAATTTTGTTTTTGAATTTTTATATTCACTTATCATAAGTGTCAAGAATCAACCAGGTAGAACAAGTTATTTTGTTTCCTTCATCCTAAATATTTGTTTCTAGTCTAGTCTAGTCTTGTCTAGCTTCAACTATATTATTTTATGCATGTTGTCTTAAGTCTAGTCTTGGACCTGATCTTGTCTAATCTAGTAGCCTAACCTATTCTTGTATAGTATGGTCTAGTACAGTATGGGAACCGCATCAATCTAGGTTGGTCTAGTCTAGCTGAGTATTCACCTACATTTTGTGTCAAGCTAAACTACACACAAGCCCACCTGTACATCTGTTTCCAATTTGATTTTGACCATGTTGTATTCCTCGGCATCTTGAACTCTTAATGTCTGCAACTGATTTTCATGATCTTCAACTCTCTTGCGTCGTGACTCCATGTACTCAACCTGTTTTTAATCCAAGTAAATAAAGCGATTACTAACTACTTATTAAGCAAGAGTGAGGTCTTCATAGGAAAATCTCATACTGAGGCCTTGTCATACTGACTGAGCTTTAAGGCTGCTGCACACTAGCTGATTTTTTGTCGTAGAACTGCAGATTTTTTGTCTGATCAAATTAGATTAAAATTTGTCAGGCCATCAGCGTGCTGCACACTAGCCGATTTCTTGTCACGACTAAACGCGTTGAGGCTTGGGGCCAAGTCATCCAAAATCAAGACGGCACCTATTCCACTCATGTGACTCTCATGACATTTCCTAATTGGTCGAGGCAAGAGTGAGCCCCGACAAATTGTCTTTGTCTACCGCACACTAGCTGACAAGGCCCAACAAGATGTTTTGAGATCTAGCACTGTCAGATATTGCCCGACAAGACCCGATCTTGTCGCAGACTAGTCTGAATTCACCACACACTAGCCGACAAGTGAAGATTTTTTGTTGGGCGACAAAAAATCAGCTAGTGTGTGGCGGCCTTTAGCAAGGTCAATTTGGCAAGGGTAAGCTTTGAGATTTTCCCATAAACACCGAACATTCGAGGTTAATACAGGTTAATACTGTAAGTTAATGTTTATTATATGGCTTTTTGCTTTGTTTTTACAAGCCTGTATTTTAGCCAATCAAAGTGCACATTATATCAGCCACAAGAACAAGCCATACATTAAATAATTAAAGCACCGTTATTCATAAAAAGTAAGGGCAATATTTCATGTGAATAGTAATAACTTGAATGAGAAGTTACCTCTTTGTCACGTCGCTGTTGCATGGAGGTGTCCCATTTCTTTCTGTTGTTCTCAATCAGTTCAGACCTTTCAGTCACAAAGGCTTTCTGCAACAGGTAAAAAGTTACAAGGACTATGAAACACTGATAAATCAACAGGCCTTAAGAATCTATGGGTAACCAGGGAAACTTAATGAAAACCAGCGAGCATTGACAGGACAGTGTACTAGCATTATGAGAACAACATGTAAAGTTGTTGATTAAAATAATCATGGTAGTTAGCATATTTGGTGTGAAAGAGTCAAGAAAAAAGTCAGCTAAGTGATAATTAAATCGCATGAACAATTTAATATCTTAGAAGAGTGGAGAGGAAAGCTGGTATGCCTAATTCATGCCAAAGTGTTTCATTAGAAGACATAATTTTTCTTCCATTGACTCTTTTACATCTTAACTATTATTTTTTTAAATCATATAGCTTAAAAATTTGTATTTGATGATGATGACAAGATTGCACCAAAACATCAAGTACTAGAAATGGAACAAGTCTACTACAGATTTTTCAGCCTATAACATAGACATTGTGAACTTTGGCCCCTGATTGTGTTTTAGCTGTAAAGAAAAGAAAACTTTAAAAAATGTTAATTGTTAACATTTTTTGACATTTTTCTGTATCTTTAATTACATGTAATAGTATACGGGGTTGAAAATCTTAGCCTGAGACTGAGAGAGTCAATAGCAAGACAAACCTCAATCTGAGTGAGTTCTTCCCTGTAAGCCTTCGTCAACTGCTTCATCTGTTCCTCCATTCGCTCAACCATAAGGTCAACATCCTCAGCCTTCACATACAAAGATATTAAATTATCAAATTGACAATAACTTACAGTTCTCTTAGAGAAACATAAACCAGAAAAATGACATCATACACATACATGTTACTTTCAATACAACAATTCTTCATTATTAATAATGAGTAATTAATCAGCATAACCTATTTACATTAATTAAAGTTGGATCAATAATAAAATTTCATTAATAATTATTGTTACAAGGTGATGTAACTTACAGCCTTCTTCAAGTCTTTCACATACTGGTCATCCTTCGACTTAAGTTCCTAATTAAAAGGAACAATGTTTTAAGATATACTCCTTTGACTGGTTTGATACTTTGATAATTTAAATTAAGACAGTATATATTCACATACCATAAGTCAATTCAGTTAACACAGTATTTTCTATATTTTAATATTGTTGACACAAACACACTTGATAGATATTGGAACTTATTTACCTGTTGAAAGTCATGAATTAGCTTATTTTTCTCATCTATCATGCCATCACATGCTGACTTTTGCTCTGTCAACATCTACAAAACACAGCAAAAATTTTTATGGCAAACATTTTCTTTTGCAATTAATACAACTTTCATCAAACTGTACACTGGAGACAGTCCATGAAACTAACGGAAAAATGCAGTTTACTCACTGAATTCAAATCTTGAGGTATTTCTTTGGAGAGAGCATATTCCCATTTCTTGGTAATCTGAGATAAGTCAAAATAATTCACACTTAAGGTTCAACAACAATATCAAAACTTAAGTGCAGAATACAGGAAGACTCTTCACAGAATATTTTAAATTTTTAACTGAAAAACATCCTTGACACAAAACAACAACTCTTACCTCTTCAAATTTTTCAGTCGCAGATTTTGCTTCAGCTTCTAGTTTCTCATTCCTTTATTGAAGTAAACAAACAAGAACTTTGTTTATATATTAAATATACACCATAAATATACATGACTAACCATTCTTAAAAAGGTAGGAGGGGGAGATTTCTTTTACCCCTGTCAAGCTTTGCATTCTTTCAATAATCTAGAGATCGTGACTAAACATATAGGATGCACATATCAGCTTACCGTTGCCTTCGTTGTTCTTCTTCTTCCAGCCTTCTCATAGATTCCCTTGCATCAGCTGCAACATGGACATTGGTCACAAGTTCTGTGCCATCAGATTTCAGCTTGACCAAACGCTATGGAATAATTGAGAACAGTTTAGAAACGTAAACTGCTCCAAGGGGAAAAATGCGAACTAAGGTGCTCCGTATCTCAGAGTTTTGCAACAATTACAGTTTTTCAAATTCAAAGAATTATTCCCCAGCACAGTTTTCTTTTCAAATATATTTGGCTTTGCTCTGCAAAACTACCATATTTCCTAATAATAGCCAGGATGATTACTTGAGGGGAGCTGTGCCCTAAATATTTTATTTTCTTAAAATAATCACATCATGGAAACTGAACAGGAGCTTTCCAAGTGCGCTCCACTTGACTGGTTTTCGATTTCAATATCTTTGGTGTCAGAGCTTGAGTCCTCACATAGTCTCACTAATCAGATTCTACTTCAGCATACAGTCCTCCACATTTACTGCTATGGGTGTGTCTGAAAATGGGTTGGTGTGTGAGCAGCAGTGACAATGTCTGTTAAAGACTATAAGTTTTCCAGTCCAGCATGGCAAGGTTGTTCAGCTTTATAGCGATGGATAGTGTTGTCCCTCCTGACTGCTATCAATAGCACAGGGGTGGGGAGGGGGCAATCATTCTTGGGAGGTGATTATTCCAAATAATCCCACCAAGGAAGAGGGGAAATTAATCATTGGGGAGNGGGGGGGGGGGGGAGTGATTAATTGCAGGGTGGGGATTATTTGAGGAAATACATACACTGTAAGGTTAATGAAGGAAGAAGACCAACTTCAAGGGCCATCATCTCAGTTTTTGACAAAGGCAAAATCAAAATTAAAGGTGGATATAGAAGGTTCCAATCATATCTTTTGCAAGGTAAGTAACATGCAAGACATTGACCATCTAGAAGTTAACCGTTATGACCTGGGGTATCAGTTTGATTGTTATTATACATGTACATGTTTTGAATTATACAGAATCAACTTTAGTTGTTACTTCTTTCTATCTTTTCTAGATACATTTCATACACTTTTAGAATAGCACGGTTGATTAAGCTCACTTCTTCTTTTTGCAAAATTCACTCATCTCTCAACTGGCACAAATGAGCATTGCCATTTCTATTTTTGTGTTGTTGATCTAATCTAGATCACAGAACCTCCAAGTAACATAAGTAACAATATCTAACCTGTCTGCTGTCTTCCATTTGTTTTCGGCTTTTAAGTGCATCCTTTTCGGAATCAACTGGTTTCTTTTTTGTAGCATCCTCTCCGCTTGCTTCCCTAAATATTTAAGAGACAGTGTCAAAACAAAAGTTGTATAGCTATATACAGCACGAGTAAAATTTAACTTGGAACTTCACTACAAGTTTACCTCCTTGCTGCTTCTAAACGTCTTTGGATCCGAATCCTCCGGGCAGCGATTCGTTCCTCTGCAACTGCCGAGTCTACAGAGGGACCTTCGTCCTCGTCGTCATCGTGAGAATTCATAATCTAGGCTTTGGGAGAGAAAAACTAAGAAAAATAGTACATCGAATATTCAACTTTCATACCAGTATTTATGTTGTAAGCGTTGCTACCTTGGTAACCTGGTGATCTTGATTAGTTCTCAATCTCTCGCATAACACTCGACGTGTCCTGGGTTCTAGAGCCACGAAGCGTGAAAAGATGGCGACCTCCAGCTCCAGCTTGTTCTTCGAATCTCTTGCATCTTCTTCAGTCTGTGATCTAAAAGCTTTGGGATCGACAAGTTTCTTTATTATCAGGCGTTTCTAAATGTATGGCTGAAGAATTTTTCCCTGGAATAACTAGAAGGTGTTGGAGCTTGAAGCTACAGTTTTGGTTATAATTTAAGCTTTAGTTTATCCAATTTTGTTTATATTTCCTGATGTCTGAAATTGATGCAGCGATGCCTAGAACTAAGAAATCTATTGAAAACACTGGATTTAAAACAATTGAGACGATTGGAAGACTTGTATTGCACGTAGTACTGCGATTTTGGAGAGCTTGCAGTGCTGCCATGTTAACTCTTCTGCTTTTGTACTGGCTGTATGGAGGAGTGGTGAGCTTCCTATTGTTAATGGCAGCCGTGTTTGGGGCCTTGTACCATTATCAAGACACTTTGCTGTACTTTCCAGATCAACCTGTTACATCAAGAGTTTTTGTTCAGAACCCAGCTGTGCTGGGTTTGCCATTTGAGAATTTGTATATCAAGACACAAGATGGTGTTAGTATCAATGCTATATTTATCAAACAGCCCCCTCAGTTTCAGAGTTCTGTTCCTACTGTTTTGTTTTTCCATGGAAATGCTGGAAACGTTGGCCATAGACTGACAAATGCAAGAAGCTGGCATAGCTACTGTGGCTGTAATGTGTTTCTGGTGGAGTACAGAGGATACGGGAAGAGTGAGGGCTCTCCCAGCGAACAAGGTAGGGAAGGGAAAATTGCCATCTTTCTCCTGCTTCTGCCCTTTCCTCTAGCACTTTGTGCTCCCTTACCTCCTGGATACACCCTTCTCCCCAGCTATGGATTAAGCAATCAACTTCCATAATACCCATTATCCAACCCTTCATGTTGTGAAGAAGAAATCAACTTGTATAATTAATTAAGGAAGAAAAGGTGCTCATAAATGTTGATTTCATGCTGAAAAAGGAATAAACCAGCCAGATTTAATTATGAAGTTAACCAGGGAAATGAAAAATTTTGAAATATTAGCACTCAAGGCTGTTAATAAAGATTACAGTGAAACTTTGGTTTCGGTAGTCTAGTGGAACCCTGCCTTATGGCTACCTGTTAATACAGCCACCTCGTTGTTATGGCCACTTTATTCTGGCCCAAACAAAAGCTCAGGACCAGATTAACAGTGGCTCCTGGATTGATGAGATATTAAGTCCCGGTTACACTAAGCATTTTTTTTCTAGTAATTGTTGTCTGCTAAAACATCTGTTAGATTAATAGCGTTAAAACTAAAATGTTATGTATCACTGTCAATTATTGTAGGGTTTGAGCTGGATTCAGAGGCTGCTTTGTCTTATCTGTTGTCTCGAACTGATATCGACACTAATAAGATAGTCATATTTGGACGTTCATTGGGAGGAGCGGTTGCCATTGCTCTGGCATCAAATGAACTTTACATGGATAAAGCATTTGCCCTGATTGTGGAGAATACTTTTACCAGCATCCCAAGCATGGCTAATCAACTTGTCAATGGACTTGGCAGACTACCTTACTTTTGCTTCAGAAATAAGGTAATACAGGTTATATCTACTTCAAAAGTAAATCATGAATGGTTTCAAACAGTATGCCATAAAATAAGCCCAGACTGAAGGAAATAAAATTATTGTTATAATGGACAAAACTTTATAAGTTTATCTCTTGGTTGGATAAACTGACCCTAAGAGACTGGTGTTGTTTTACATTCTGTACAGTTTGATTCCCTGAAGAAGATTCGGAAAGCAAGAGTTCCAACCCTTTTCCTGTCAGGACTGGCTGATCAACTTATCCCCCCAAGAATGATGACCAGTCTATACAAGGTATGTTGTGCATTCATAGGAGACATCGGCATTAATCCAAGCTTTAGAATAGTCAATCTGCAAATTTTGAGTACAAACTGACAATCAGCTGTAGTCTATGTTTAAAACCTGGGGTTTGTTTTCCTTTCCTCTTGCTCCCTCATTAGGGAGGCACAGTGGCCAATGGTTAGCATGTTTGATGCTGGATTAAATGCTCATGCTTAAGCATTGGCTGGGATCACTGTGTTGTAATTTTGGATGGCACTTTGCTCTTACACTGCCTCTCCACCCAGGGGTGGCAAATAGTGCTTGCTGACAACTGTGTTGGAATCTGTCAAAATGCTCATTGTTTTTAGAGAGTAGGCGAACATCACCTCTTGCTTCAGAAACTGGGGTAATTCCCACATTGTGGGCCACTTTGGTCAGAATGAAAACTGTTATATAAAGCAAAAAAATTGTAACTTTGCTTATGTTTAAATTGACATTTTATTTCTCATGATTTTGTTTCAGACATCAGGATCTTGTCTGAAGAAGCTGGACTGCTTTGATCATGGTACTCACAATGAAACATGGCAGTGCTATGGATATTTTGATGCAATTACAAGATTCTTATGCGAGGTACTTGCTTTCAGAGAAACTTTTCACAAGAATACAACAGGTCTGGAAAATGTCAGGCCAGGGAAAAGGCCAGGAAAAATTTAGGGAACTGAGAATCTGTTGAGAGAAATTCTGAATTTATTTCACAGTCAAAGTAAAGTCAAGGAATGGTATTTTCAAGTTAGTACAAATAAATATAGTATATAACATGACCGCACAGAGATAGAAAATTTCACTTCAAGCATTGAAAAATATTGCGCTCACTTGTGAAGTAGTTTTTGACACAAGAAAACGAAGCAACCATGTAATGTTCTATTTGTTATATAAACATCAATGAAATACCAAACCATTTAACCTTCACTGCAAAAAGTGATTTATTATGTAACCATAGCAATGGTGATCTTTTCACTTGTGAAGATAACATGTTATATTCACTTGTGAAGATATCATGTTTACATGTGAAAGCTCACCTGGTAATTCAAGAGTGTTTATATAATAAAGCATGTTATGTAGTAATACCAGACCTTTGCATGCTGTGTGTGCACATTTCACACTTTATTTCACATACTTCACACTTTATTTTGATCACATTTAGAAATTGTGCCTAAAAATACTAACGTTGGTGTTGTTGTTGTGGAGGAAGGAGGTGGGGTTATTAGACAGGGCGACTTCATAGAGCTTCTACGGTAACCTGATTACCGTATTATTGTATTTTTTTTTAAGGTTCACCAAGCGAGAGAAGCTGGTGTCATTGGACCACCAATATCAAAAGAGAACACTGGCATATCTGGAGCTGCCAAACCAGCTGTTCTCAATGTACACAGCCATACTGAAGATATTTAATTTAATCTTAATAATGGAGAAAATATTGTATTCCTGTAAAAGAAATGTCAATGGAAGAAGTACAGTTAGGTTATTTATTACATGATGCTCGGCTGTCCGTAACTTGGCAAGAGTACCGTCCCTTCTTTGGAAGATTCAATTGTTTCAGAAGTGTGCTATATGTATAATACTGTAGGTTGACCAAAGTTTATTTTGACTGCCAAGCAGTCCCTATTTCGGGATGAACTTATCCGAGTGTGACTGTTGAAGAGCTTGTGTAGCGTGTTTGAAAGAGCTCAGTCACGGTATCATTTGAGTTATTTTGGCCGCGTGCAAAATCACCTTCAAATTGAAAGAAACCTGAAAATAGTAGTTTACTAAGACAGAAAAACACTAAAGAGATAATAATAAACCATAAAGGAACAAGGATGGTTAAGGATGGCAAAGATTGGCACGGATTTTAAACAGTAAACTTGAAAGATTTAGTCTAAACTTTTTAAGATGCGCAAACCGTGACTTAGCTCTTTTGAATCTGTAGGTGGGGGATGAGATTGCACAGAGTGTCGATCACGCGAAACGAGAGATACACGCGAGTTTCACTCACGAAATCAGAATTACCCCATGAATAGAAACTGTTTTGTAGTCTAAAAGATTTCTTCGTCGTGCAAACGAGCAATCCCCGTTAAAGTTCATACAACGATAAAGAAGCGCTGAAAATACTCCAATACTTGCTCCTCATTTTACCATTCCCACAATCTGACAACCTGTCGCCTCAAAACGGAGACAAATGTAAACACTCGTTTTTAATTTCATGATAAAGCAGTACTTTTTCAGCTTTCTACGGATATTTTTGTTGTTTTTCATAAAGCAACATGTTACGTTTCACGACGTCGAGAAATATTTTGAAAGTGCAGAAATAAGGGAGACTGGAAAGTTAAAAAAAATGGCTTCTGTATAATTTCTTCCAGTGATATCTAATTCATTGAAGAGCGTATTTGTGTTACAGGTCGTTCTTGCGGTGTAAAATGGTGGTTGTAACTTCGTTTGTTAGGTGTCAAAAATAAACTTGGTTCAGAGTTATGTTGCCTGTAAGTAACACTTGGTCTTCGGCCATCGTAGCTTGATTAAAAATATAAAACAAACAGCGGTGATAAACATTTTAAAAACATGCATTTTATGAACTTGACGCTTCGTATGCTAGTCAAGATAGACTTCTCCAATCTCATCCCCAGGACCCTCTCTTTGACGTACCTAATTGAGAGGGTCTGGGTTCGAGATTTACGCCGAGCCCTTATGTTGGTCATACCGGGCACTCAGGGAATGATGGTCTATGTGGGCGGACTTTCGTAGAGCGCGCGTGCAATAGTTATCTCCCTCGAGTAACTCGCGCTGTGCCTCATCACCGCTCGCTATGGGACAACTCAGGCCTGGGGAGAATTTGCGTCTTCATATGCCAGTGACAGCTGTTGGGATCACGTGTGTTGGCAAGAGGAATACACTGTCACTTTCAACATCGCGGAAATTAACCCTCTCATTGACACTATACAATGAAATAAAATTAATTTACAAGGCCATGCTTACTCCTTTTTCGACGTTGGTAAAATTTGCGAAAACGTATTGCTGGTTTTCAGTATCACGCAATTCAAAATAGATCAAAATAAAAATCAAAACCGGTCAATAGAT